CTAAAAACATAAATACATCAGTATTAGTACTACAGACACATCAGTATTAGTACTACAGACACATCAGTATTAGTACTACAGAGACATCGGTATTAGTATTGCACACACATTAGTATTAGTACTACAGAAACATCAGTATTAGTACTTCAGAGACATCAGTACTAGTATTACAGATACGTTAGTATTAGTACTAAAGATATGTCAGTATTAGTATTGCAGATACATTAGTATTAGTACTACGGAGACATCAGTATTAGTATTTCAGACACATTACTATTAGTACTACAGACACATCAGTATTAGTACTACAGAGACATCAGTATTAGTATTGCAGACACATTAGTATTGGTATTAAAGAGACAGCAGTATTAGTATTGCAGACACATTAGTATTAGTACTACAGAGACATCAGTATTAGTATTTCAGACACATTAGTATTAGTACTACAGAGACATCAGTATTAGTATTGCAGACACAATAGTATTAGTACTACAGACACATCAGTATTAGTACCACAGAAACATCTGTATTAGTATTGCAGCCATATTAGTATTAGTACTACAGAAACATCAGTATTAGTACTACAGAGACATGAGTATTAGTATTGAAGACATATTAGTATTAGTACTACAGACACATCAGTATTAGTACTACAGAGACATCCATATTAGTATTGCAGCCATATTAGTATTAGTACTACAGAAACATTAGTATTAGTACTACAGAGACATCAGTATTAGTATTGCAGACACATTGGTATTAGTACTAGACACATCAGTATTAGTATTGCAGACACATTAGTATTAGTACTACAGACACATCAGTATTAGTACTACAGACAAATCAGTATTAGTACTACAAAGACATCAGTATTAGTACTACAAAGACATCAGTATTAGTATTGCAGACACATTAGTAATAGTACTACAGAGACATCAGTATTAGTACTAAAGACACATCAGTATCAGTACTACAGACTTCAGTATTAGTACTACAGAGACATCAGTATTAGTATTGCAGACACATTAGTATTAGTACCACAGAGACACATTAGCATTAGTATTGCAGACACATTAGTATTAGTACTACAGACACATTAGTATTAGTATTGCAGACACATTAGCATTAGTACCACAGACACATTAGTATTAGTACTACAGGGACATCAGTATTAGCACTGCAGACACATCAGTATTAGTACTACAGAGACATCAGTACTAGTATTGCAGATACATTAGTATTAGTACTAAAGAGACGTCAGTATTAGTATTGCAGATACATTAGTATTAGTACTACGGAGACATCAGTATTAGTATTTCAGACACATTAGTATTAGTACTACAGAGACATCAGTATTAGTATTGCAGACACATTAGTATTAGTACTAAAGAGACAACAGTATTAGTAATGCAGACACATTAGTATTAGTACTACAGAGACATCAGTATTAGTATTTCAGACACATTAGTATTAGTACTACAGAGACATCAGTATTAGTGTTGCAGACACATTAGTATTAGTACTACAGAAACATCAGTATTAGTATTGCAGACACAGTACTATTAGTACTACAGACACATGAGTATTAGTACTACAGAGACGTCCATATTAGTATTGCAGCCATATTAGTATTAGTACCACAGACACATCAGTATTAGTACTACAGAGACATCAGTATTAGTATTTCAGACACATTAGTATTAGTACTACAGAAACATCAGTATTAGTGCAGACACATTAGTTTTAGTACTACAGAAACATCAGTATTGGTACTACAGAGATATCAGTATTAGTATTACAGAGACATCAGTATTAGTACTCCAGACACATTAGTATTAATACTACAGACACATCAGTATTAGTACCACAGAGACATCCGTATTAGTATTGCAGCCATATTAGTATTAGTACTACAGACACATCAGTATTAGTACTACAGAGACATCCATATTAGTATTGCAGCCATATTAGTATTAGTACTACAGAAACATTAGTATTAGTACTACAGAGACATCAGTCTTAGTATTGCAGACACATTGGTATTAGTACTAGACACATCAGTAATAGTATTGCAGACACATTAGTATTAGTACTACAGACACATCAGTATTAGTACTACAAACAAATCAGTATTAGTACTACAAAGACATCAGTATTAGTACTAAAGACACATCAGTATCAGTACTACAGACATCAGTATTAGTACTACAGAGACATCAGTTTTAGCACTGCAGACACATTACTATTAGTACTACAGACACATTAGTATTAGTACTACAGACACATTAGTATTAGTGCTACATGGACATCAGTATTAGTATTGCAGACACATTAGCATTAGTATTGCAGACACATTAGTATTAGTACTACAGACACATTAGTATTAGTATTGCAGACACATTAGTATTAGTACTACAGGGACATCAGTATTAGTACTACAGGGACATCAGTATAAACACTACAGACACATTAGTATTAGTACTACAGGGACATCAGTATAAACACTGCAGACACATTAGTATTAGTACTACAGACACATTAGTATTAGTACTACAGGGACATCAGTATCAGTATTGCAAACACATTAGCATTAGTATTGCAGACACATTAGCATTAGTACTACAGGGACATCAGTATTGCAGACACATTAGCATTAGTACTACAGGGACATCAGCATTAGTACTACAGGGACATCAGTATTAGTACTACAGGGACATCAGTATTAGTATTGCTGACAAATTAGCATTAGTACTACAGACACATTAGTATTAGTACTACAGGGACATCAGTATTAGTACTACAGGGACATCGATATTAGTATTGCAGACACATTAGCATTAGTACTACAGACACATTAGCATTAGTACTACAGACACATTAGCATTAGTACTACAGACACATTAGTATTAGTATTGTAGGCACATTAGCATTAGTACTACAGACACATTAGCATTAGTACTACAGACACATTAGTATTAGTACTACAGACACATTAGCATTAGTACTACAGACACATTAGCATTAGTACTACAGACACATTAGTATTAGTATTGTAGGCACATTAGCATTAGTACTACAGACACATTAGCATTAGTACTACAGACACATTAGTATTAGTACTACAGACACATTAGTATTAGTACTACAGGCACATTAGTATTAGTATTGCAGACACATTAGTATCGGTCTTTATCAGATGGCGTATTGGGTGCTGTGGCACGTTGCATGATGGGATAGCTAGGTGTTTAAGCTACGGAAGCATTGGTCACTTTGTGTGTTATGGGATTATAATCCTGCAGAAAACGGTACACTCGTGTTGTAGGAAGGGCTGCCATTACAGGTCACACAATTACAAGAAGCCAAAACATGGTAATGACATCAAATGCAGCATCTGTACCTACACACTTTGCTATTATTCACCCTGTTAGTGTTTAACTTTCCATACTAGTAGAGCAGGTGTGGCTTTTGATGCATGTCTCCGTTTGGAACATGTTTAAACGGTTCAGGAGGCAAATTCAGGCTCTGTCTCTTTGGATTGTTGTCATTAAACTTTATACTGAACGAAACTTAACAATAAACAATGCTGAAAAGGCAAGAAAAGGATCCAGTCAATTCTGCTTTTTATTTTTCCCCATTTACAGTCACGGAGCTAGCGGTGCTAACGCCTCTGCTGTTAATTAAGTTTAAATGTTTCTCTATAGCTTTGCAACTATCTTCACAAGAAGGCAAAAGCAGTTAAAGGTATACAGGGTTCGTGTTAAGCAGATGTTTTCCATATTTCACCATTTATTTGTTGAATCTCAAGGCTGTTGGCCACTTTGACAGACTAGAATTACCCCGAATCATGCAGGTGCGCAGAAACTTTAAATGTTACAAAATCAATTAAAAAAAGATTCCCATCAGAACATCTGAGCATATCTGAGACCTGGCGACCATGCTCATCGCGACAGCGCGCTGAGGAGCTGTGATATGCAGCTTGGCGCACGTCTGTGGGTCGCGGTCTCCAGTGTGGCAGCGCAGTGCGGATTCAGCCTCTAAAACATTCAAACATCCATGAGTCTGTCTGAGGCTGAAGTCCAGACCTCATCCAGCCTCTTCAGAAAGCCCTCATAGAGACATTTGATTACGCATAAGCAGGTGACCTGTTCAGGTTTACGTGGAGCAGAAGGAAGGAGTGGTTTGGCCCACAACAGGTCAAATGTTCCTTACTTTAAGTAAAACTGTGTAACTAATATGTTGCTGGACACGCTGGCCAGCTTGTTATGACTAAATATAAATAAAAAACTGAATGAAAATTAAATTATACATTTGATTTATTATTTGAGAAATGAAAATGAAGCATGGGAAACAATCATGACTGTTTTAAATGACAACAAATATGCGCCGCGGTCGGAGTGTGGGTATTGTTTCTGTACCTGCTTGTATCGAGTTATTGATATTAACTTGTTTAATCAAGGCTACTTTTTACTTTTTCTTGATTATAAATATGTTGAAGTAGTTTAAATATTCCTGTGTCCATTCTGGATCTTTGCATTAATGTTTTATATTTACTTATTGTAAATGAATATAACTATACAAACATCTAACTCACTTGTAATAATAATAATAATAATAATAATAATAATAATAATAATAATAATAATAATTAATAGGGGTGCGACTTGATTAAAAATTAATCTAATTAATTACAGGTGTTGTATTCAATTAATCTTGATTAATTGAATTTTTTCATTAATTGACTCAATCAGAGTGCCCCAGTGCAGCTGTGGCTACATTGTAGCTCATCACCTCTAGTGAGTGAATGTGTGTGTGAATGGATGAATGATTTTGGAGTCCTCTGACTCTGAAAGGCGCTACACAATTGTGGCTCATTTATCAGTGTTTCCCCTACACAGGCTCAGGCGTGGCGCAACAACGACATTTTGTAGATTCTAGTCGCACTAACGAGCTTCAACGGAGCCTAGCTCCTAGGGCGAAAATTGCTGCCAACCCCCAGCAAA